AAAGTTACGACCTTGAACAGAATGCAGTTTGTATGGCATACCAAACCTGAAGAAGAAATCACTAATAGCCAAAGCTACAGCTGTAGCTTCCTTTTTTTGGTATTTCATATGCCTCAGGCCACAAGGTGGAATAATCCATCACCACACAAATGTACTTGTTTCCAGCACGAGTTTGGGGCAATGGACCAGCAATGTCAATAGCTACTCTTTCATTGGTGCGCCAACTTGATATAACTTCATTGGAGCACATCCCTTACGTTTGGGTCCCCTTTTAGCACAACATGTACTGCAGGTCCTGCACCATTCTTTCACATCTTGCCTCATCCCTATCCAGTAAAATCTCTGTCGTAGGTGACTCAATGTACATTTCTCGTCATTTTAAACTTAACAACTTTTATAATACACGCTGTAAATCACAGTGATTCACGATCGCGATAACTTCATTCTCGACGAGTGCAAAACACACACTTTACGGCTCACTAGCTTGAAACTAACAGAATCATAAATTACATGGAACTCAAAGTAACTACTGCTCTCTCTTCATTCATGTATATCCCGCTGGCTTTCTCTGCCAGGCTTATATACTAATGAAGAGGGCATCTCGATCACACTCGGACTTTCCCAATTGGTCGAGAAACTCATCAGTGTTACGTGACTTCCGTTGTCATAACAGTATGTTAAAATGATTCAGTTATGTAATACAGGTTAACACAAACTGTAAAAAGTAAAAACAAATTACTCTATGCCTTAGTTTTACTAAAGCAAGTACATGGTGAGCAGCCACTGTGAAAGTTTTGTATGATTGAATTACAAAAGAATGTGCCAGGCAATAATAAGCTTAATATCCTATACTTAAATAAGCAAGCCTAACCTGTCACAGAAACTTCTTACCATAAGTCACACATTCAGCCAAATGTATCCAAGTGCACGTCAAGTTATTCTCATGAAAATGCTGACCATTAGGACAGGTCCAATGATATTGCATGCCTTGAACACAAGCAAAGTACTTATAACAGTCATCCGTATCAGAGATATTGGCCGTACATGGAGAACCTTGGTTAAGAAAAAAATTGAAATGAATTAGAACGTTATAATTTTTCTGTCATTCAGTATGTTATCATACACCTACTTACTGTTATATATGGGATACAAAATTAAATTTTTTGCATAGTGATAACATTTCTAGTTTTCTTTTCACAAGGCTAATGTAATCGTGAAGTTTAAGAACTTGTTTTTCTCAAAGATGTCTGAAGGACAAAAAAATTTTAATTAATGTACAACATAATACTTTGTCAATTCCATACTTCTGAAAACTAAAAAATATACTTTTATGAAGATTACTAAATCTGTTTCTTTTTCATCCTTACAATAACTGAAACAAACTCACTTTACAATTAAAAGCAAAATAAAGATTCAAATCAATGGTTTTCTTTAATGTAAACAACAACAAACTCTTACATCTATCATTTGCAACACTTTATTTTCAAGATTTCAGAATATTAGTGAAGAAAAGAATTGTTATAAGAATTATTTTTGATTTATAAATAGTTATTTCCTTAACTGAAGAATACAATCTCCCTTTAAACAGCAGTATTTACCAATATGCTATGAAAAAAGTAACAGTGACTGAAACTCGGGTGAGGTGTACATTGTTTATATCAGTACTTCTGGTTATTCCTACCTTGACAACCAACAATATCTTCATTGTCACATTTCTGGGAACGAGGGTCAAAATGTAGCGAAGAGCCACAGCTCCTATGATAAGTTACTGCACTGTTTCCTCCCACACATTCGTAATACTTTGAACAGTCACTAGAATCAACAAAATATCCCTGCTCCTCAGGACAGTTGAAATTAGAACCTGCAAATATACACAGCATTTCCATTTCAATTCATAGCAGTTACAAATTTATCCCTGCTCCTCTGTACAGTGGAAATAAGTACCTGCAAATATACAACAGCAGTTAAAGTATCCCTGCTCCTTTGGACAACTGAAATTAGTATCTAAAAATACACAACAGCATTCTCCTTTCAATTTACAGCAATCAACAAAGTATCCCTACTCCTCTGTACACTTGAAATTAGTACCAGCAAATACACAACAGCATTCCCAACATATATGAAAGCTACATTAAAAGTTTTAAATTCTGAAACTATCTGTGGTAAGTTCTTTCTTATATACAATTGCTATCTTACCTACTTCATGGCAATTCACCTGGTTCACTGGCCTACACTCTTTAGCTATTGGATCAAACTGGTCACCAGGTTGACAAGTCTTTCGGTAGCTTATCTTGTTTTCTCCATAGTCACATTGGTAGTAACTTGTACAGTTATGTTCATCAGGAAGAAACTTATCTGTTGTACAGGTCACTTCATCTGTAGACAAAGAAAATTTACTACATACATCTTTCATGTACAAATAGAATGTCTTTTGTGTCTTATGATAACTCATAGTTCTTGCATGCACATGCTGAAACAGAAATTAATGTTGACCCTAATGATACAACTGATAAATTATGCTTAACTATGCTTGAATCAAAATAGAAAAATATTTTTATAACACACAGAGATTTGAAATTAAAAAGCAAAGGTTCTGCTAAGCTTCTTTAGAGAAGATTCAAGAGTTCATGAGAGATGTGTCACACTAAACCACTGTGAAAAACCCATTCTAGAAGTCCCAGCTCACTTTATTCACATAAGGAAGAACTCGCAAAGACAAAAGGAAGGATTACAGATTACACAATAATGAACCTCTTTAAAAGACAATTAAGTCAGCAAAACTCTGAAGGGTCACACAAAGACTTTATGAATTTAATTCATCATGGACAACTTTTGAACACAAGACATTACAACTGAAACTAACATACAAGTGAAATTTAATGGTGGTCATTAAGTCATACAATTTTAATATAGTTACTACGTTTATTTTAAGAGACTGCTTAGTAGAGTTCAGAAAAATAACTATCAAAGTATGCTGCATAATGTAAAAAATGTCAGAAAACATAAAGCATGTATTGATAAAAAAGCATTAATTCAGTACTTTTTCTGGCAGTAACAGTACTTGAGTAAGGAAGCACATTATGCTAATATAATAATAATAATAATAAGCTGACAACCAACGATTTAATTTTGGGGAACACACTAAATTTTTTGAAAGAACACTGGTCTGCAACAGTACTGAGTCATATGTTAGGCAAACTATACTTTTGGAACTATAGTCGCAAATTGTCATAATTCATTCATATGAAACTTTTTCCCAAAAAATTTATCGTGCTACTATAGTATGCGGTCTACCGAGCTGGATTTTGTCGACCCACCATGGTCACAGGTGATGAGGTCATTAATACCTGACCTGAAGTGACGTAGAATATAAAAGGGGAAATCATGAAGACAAAAATTAGTGTCATTCTAAAGTTCAAGTTAAGAACATCAGTGACAAAAAACATTTTGGTACTACTAACAATGTTGCTGAAAGATTTCGACAGATGAATGATCTTGACAGAATACACCACCGTAACATTTTTATGTGAGCATAATAGACCACATACTCTAGTGTAAACATCCTGGTAGACCACATACTCTAGTGTAAACATCCCGGTAGACTGCATACTATAGTAGTACCAAATATATTTATGGTTTAGCACTCTTTAAATCTTACTTTTGTTGTGGCATGTTCATATTTTCTGACACTGATTTTGGCAGGATTATTCATACCTAATAATTTACACAAAGATCTGACAACTAATGGTTGAATGAAAGTTATAACTGAAACCTTACCTATGTTTAAATGCTGAATGCTGAAATAGTACTGGAATCCATTAGGACTAACAAGAGTAATAAATGAGGTTGCAAATATTCTGTTTTCCCCACATTTCTTTTACTTTTTCCACAACAGATTACAAATCGGGGGAGGGGGGCTACCTGTAGTTATCAGCTATAGGTATAGAAATTTATAAATGTTTTTTCATTACTTTGGGAGCCCACAATATGAGGGGGACATCAGTGTGTTGTCCTGATTGCACTGATATTAAATATGCCACTGTAAAAAGCTATAATATACAGATGAAGATGGGGAAAAGCGTGTGTAGCCCATGTGATTTTGATTACAAATAAAAAATATACACATAAGAGTCTTAACTGTTTGGAACTACATATATCACCAGTACACCACTACAACTATCACCAGTACAAATACAAGTTCTGTATTTGTACTGGTGATAGTTGTAGTGGTGTACTAGTTGTAGTTAGTGTATATAAATTATAGTTATCTCATTTTAGCTAAGAGTTGTACTTTTTTATGACACAATTAAATTATAGCCTTACTTGTTTGGTAGCATTCCACTTCCGAGTTGCAAATTTTCTTAATAGGGTCAAAGTATAGCCCCAGATCACAGCTTCCTGAATAGCTTATTTTATCTGCACCAAATGCACACTCATAATATTCAGAACAGTTACCTTCATGAGGAATAAAGCCTATTTCTGTACACTGCACTTCATCTGTGAACACAAAAATATAAAGTTATAGTAAACAACAAACAAAGCTAAACAACCTAGCTTCTAATTGTCTTCTATTTTTTTCAAGAGATTACTATTAATCCATTAAACTTGCAAGTAAAATGTCAGGAGAAATAGAATTAGAACAGACATTTGACAATTAAAACTTTCCATTTCATATTTACTGGTCAACAGATACTTGCATTCACAAGAGTTGCATTCATACACGAGTTTAACCATTTGTCTTTAAAAGTAAAAATTCCTCATAAACTCCATGGCAAACTTGCTCAAAACACACGGAAGTTATGTACACCAATGGATACTTCCCCTTTGAATCTCTGTGAGTCGTTTTTTTTTTTTCTATGAATAGAAAATAGCATTCTTTTTGAGTGGCCCCATTTAAGTCAGTAAATAATATACAAAGTGGGTCACAGCAAAAATCCCCAATAATTAGGATAGGATAGTCTGTGGGGTAAATAGGGAGAAAAGAATTAGATTATGCTACCCAGGGGCACAGGTGGAGGATATAACTGACAGAACAGGAGATATAATAAAGGGGGCTAGTAAAGATGCAGTTTTTCTTATGCATGTAGAGGGCTAATGATGTAGGAAAAGGTAGGTCAAAGGAACTAATTAATAATACAAAGGGTTGATAAAGGCATTTAAAGAAAAAGACCATAACTTAATTTTGTCAGGGATACTGTCAAGAATTAACTGTGGGAATGAAGTTATAAAATTGTCACTAGGGCTAAATGCTAGGCTTAGGTTAGTAAATAAGAATGAGCAAATTGGCTGGTTGGACTTGTGGGATCACTTCAATGGAAGAATGGAGCTTTTTGGAATGGATGGTTTACACTTAAATAGAATAAGGGCTGGCTTGTTTGCTAGGGCTATTAACTCAGCTGTAAGGGAAGTTTTAAATTAGGACTAGACAGTGGTAAGGGCCAGGATAAACTAAATGCAAAAAGAATAGGAGGCAGAGAAAAATTTATCATAGGAAATAAGTATAGAAATAGTTCTAAGGGTAGGCTTAATTGTTACTA